TGTATCTTTTTCTTTTATGTAAACGGACAGCATATGCACCAAAGGCAAATTCCTTGTGTGTCCAATCACACTTGGCCAATAAAGAATTCTATTCTATTCTATTCAAAGTACAAAAGAAGGACATAACTTCTTCAAACTCTTTCATTGCATCGCTAAATGTCTATACAGATTCTCATGTCATGGTTGTCCCAAAGGTGCTTTTTCAGGAGGCAACTGGAATTACTTGTTTTTGTTTTTTTTAAAGACGTTTTGCTTCTCATCCAAGAAACTTCACATCTTGAGAATCGAAAAGTCAGTTTGAATCCCTAGTGCCGCGTAACAGGGTGAGCTCCCATTACTTGTCCCAGCTTCTGCCAACCTAGCACTTCAAAAGCATGTAAAAAATGCAAGTAGAAAAATAAGGACCACCTTTGGTGGGAAGGTAACAGCGTTCCGTGCCCTTTGATGTTTAGTCATGCCGGCCACATGACCATGGAGATGTCTTTGGGCAGCTCTGGCTCTTCAGCTTTCAAACGGAGATGAGCACTGCCCCCTAGAGTCGGGAACGACTAGCACATATGTGCAAGGGGAACCTTTATCTTTATACTTCCGGTATTTAAAAATCCCACACTTTCTACATCCACAGCAATGGGATATTCATGAAATTTTCCCCGAGGCTTGCTCGTTGGTTACCTCCTTGTCCAATTTGATTCCCTAGACCAGATGCTAATTTTTATCAATGTGACTTGTCAAAAAGCATCAAGGGATGTAAGCAAAGAAAAATAAGCAACGTGGTTAGAAGGAGGCGGTTGAGAATGAAATAGCTGTGAATGAGATGAATGAATTTAGGCGGGCAAAGGACTGGGAAAGAACCGTGTAACTTAAAACGGAAAGACCAGAACGCAACTTAGTGGCTGGCTGCAGCAAAGCATATATCTATCAATGCCACATTCATTGGGACACCATATGGTTAATTGCATTACGGAAAGCTTGCCGAAACCTCTGGTACGTGGCACCCCTTGAAAATAGATGCTGCTACTTGTTATTAGAAAGCTAATATTACAACATCCTTTTTCGTCTGGCGACCCTGGGAGTTAGGTTACTGCAGCTTTTCTGCTCTTGTCTGAGTCATTTAAATATATCAGCACGGAACTTTTAATGCTGCGTTTTATGCTTTTGTGTCTGCCCTAAAGGCATAATGATATTTTACGTTCTTCTTGATTTTTTTTTTAAATCAACCACAGATGCTTAATTCTTGAACAAACACTAGAGAGGAAATAAATTTATCCAGTGTCTTGTATGATTTGAGCCTAGGAAAGCTGAACTGACCTTCCTGTTAAACCGTGAAAACTTGATGATTCTTTGTTTTTTTACTGGCCCGAATTAGATAGAGCACTATAGAAATGAAGTACTTTAAGATATTTGTGTTCTGTCCCCAACCACACGCACACACACCAACAGACGTTCAGGAGTTAAAGACCAAACCAGCCAGCAAAATCCTTTTCCTTAAGATAACGGAACTTGGCAACAACCTAGTGGCTGCCTGCCAAGAGTTTATTATTTACAAAGAGGAGAGGTAACTTCTCCCCACTTCTGATACATCAAAAGAAACAGCTCAATAATTACGGAGTTAATCAAGTCCAGCTAAGTCTTATAGCAAAAGTCCGGCAATGCAGAATGGCGTGGAAGCTTTCAGCTTTGTTCATCACAAGGTTTGACTGGCCACCACGCTCCCTTTTATATCCTGTGGGGTGTGGTCCAGTGACTCAGCCTAATCTCGGGCACGCCTTTTCTTCTGTTGCATGCGCTTATCTCTGCGACGCTTGCGTGGATCCAGCCAAGACTCATTACCCTCATCACTGTCTATCTGTGGCTGCGTGGACGTGCTTGGCCCCAGCCCTATCTCTTGCCCTTCGGCGAACACCGAAGGCATTGCCAGAGAGGAGGGTCCTGGAGAGGGAGGCCTTGTCAACTCCTCTCCTTCACTCTCAGAGTCCTCTCCTGCCGATGACACAGGCTCCGGTAATGGAGCCACAACAATTTGTCCTGAATACAGGTACTATAGATCTCAATTTACAACCACTGTTGGGACCAGTATTTCTGCACTAAGCAAGGCAGGAGTTGAGTGAATCATGCCCAATTTTACAGCATTTGTTGTTATTTTTTTGCCATGGTTGTTAAGCAACGTGAATCACACCATCATTCAGTGAATCCAGCTTCTCCTGCCAGACATTGTTTGTCAGAAGCTAGCTTGGAAGGTCACAAACAGTGATTGCGTGACCCTGAGACACCGCAACCATCGTAAATACATACACCACTCAGTGCACCACTTCAGATGCTTTAGACATTATAAATGATGAAATGGGTAACCGGATATTTGCAACGGACAAAGGGGCAAAAAAAGCATCCCAAGCAAATTCACGAAGAGGGAGGGCGTATTTATTTATTTGATGTATTTGCCGCCCATCGTGTTTCTGAGTGGCTTGCGGCGTTAGATTAAAAATATTTAGCTTCTTATTTAGCTTCTGCTTCTGAAATGCTCAATTTGGACCCCCTTGAACTTGCTTAGCTGCCTTTCAGAGAAATTTGTTGTGCAACCACAAAATTGACCTCCCACCACCTGTTACAGCTCGGTTGGTGTCCGGTTACTAGGATGACCCCTAAAAACATCTGGTAGGCCTGTTCTCATTTTTTTTTCTCCCCTGGTGCATACGTGTCATATCACAATTATTCTTTGTGAAACGTTACCCAGTCATAAAGGGATGGGCGCCTTTTGTTGCAGTTTATGAAACGAGTTGTGCCAGATTTTCATCCAGGTCCCTTTTCTTAATGGGTTTTCTTGGGTTTTGAGCTTTCTGTTCTCCTATACAGGTAGTCCTCGATTTACGGCAAGTCGTTCCACTGATTAATTGCTCTCACTGTCAGGAAATTTCTCCTTAGTTCTTCTTGTCCTGCCCTCAGGTGCTTTGGAGAATAGCTTGACTCACTGTCAGAAAAGAAGGACTAGGGGAGACATGATAGCAGTGGTCCAATATCTCAGGGGCTGCCACAAAGAAGAGGGAATCAAGCTATTCTCCAAAGCACCTGAGGGCAGGACAAGAAGCAATGGGTGGAAACTAATCAAGGAGAGAAGCAACTTAGAACTAAGGAGAAATTTCCTGACTGTTAGAACAATGCATCAGTGGAACAACTTGACTCCAGAAGTTGTGAATGCTTCAACACTGGAAGTTTTTAAGAAGATGTTGGATAACCTTTTGTCTGAAGTCGTGTAGGGTTTCCTGTCTAAGCAGGGGGTTGGACTAGAAGACCTCCAAGGTCCCTTCCAACTCTGTTATTCTATTCTATTCTATTCTATTCTATTCTATTCTATTCTATTCTAAGTGAGAGCAATTAATCAGTGGAACGACTTGCCTCCAGAAGTTGTGAATGCTCCAACACTGGAAGTTTTGAAGAAGATGTTGGATAACCATTTGTCTGAAGTGGTGTAGGGTTTCCTGCCTAAGCAGGGGGTTGGACTAGAAGACCTCCAAGGTCCCTTCCAACTCTGTTATTCTATCTTTATTTCAATATAATTTGATCACAAAGGTCGTTGATATAAAGCAGAAAGAGTGTTGGACCTAAAACGCTGCCTTGGGGAACACTGCTGTTAACAGGTGCAGGATTTGATAGGGCACTGCCTATTTTGACCTATTTTGATATAAGTTAAGTCTTTTGTAGAGAACATTGAAACCTGGCATAAGCCAATGTTTCTCAACCACAGCATCTTTTAAGATGGATGGATGGACTCCAACTCCCAGAATTCCCCAGTCAGAAAGACACACCACCTATGCCATCTGGGGATGGCATAGTTTTATTGGGGTTTTTTTCTTTTCTCCTCTCCCACCTTCACTCACATCTTTCTTTCTTTTTTTTTTTTTTGAACAGAGTGTTGGTCATTTCTTATCTTATACAATTAGTCAAATTCAAATACATTTTACTCAATTACAATTTTTGTCAATATTGTCTTCCTCCCTTTCCTTTTTTTTATTTTTTGAATATACCTCAGTATTTCTATACTTGCATACATAAACACCTTCTTCATTTATCCCTAAATTCTAACTTTACTATTTGTACATATTTATCCTCTTTTATTCTTAAACAATTCATTCTTTTTCTTAATATATTTATATTTGTTTGTTCAGAGCTGCCTTCCTTCCACTTCATCTTTTTTTTTATTGAAAAGTTTTATAAGAAATACAAACATTTTCTCCCCCCCCTTCCCCCCTCAACCCCTCCCCACCCCCCTACCTCCCCTCCTTCCCTTCCTTTCCCCACCCCCCTCCCTAGACTTTGAACAAACACAGGTATAGCATTCACAAACATAAAGCTAAAATATGCTAACAAATTATAACATTCATATTCTCCCTAAGTCTTTAACTCCTTATAACCCAACAAACTATAAACATGAACTACTTAAAAATAATTCATTCATAAGCTATATGTATCTTCTTGTTCGGATACTTTTTTTGTATATAGTCAATCCATCTTCTCCATTCCGATATGTATCTTTCATTTGAATGGTCTTTAAGGTATGATGAAATTTTTGCCATCTCTGCCAAATGCACAACTTTTAGTGTCCATTCCACAATAGTGGGTGGATCTTCCTTCTTCCAGTACTGTGCCACCAGTAACCTGGCAGCCATTATTAAGTTCAAAACCAATTTAGTCTCTATTATAGTACAATCCGTGACTATTCCCAGCAGAAAAAACTGTGGTGTAAATTTAATTTTTTTCCTTAAAATATTTTGAATAATCCACCATATTTTTATCCAAAACGTCTTAATTTTTTTACATCTTTTTTTTTTATTGTACAGCAATCTTTCTCCTCATACCTAGCCTCTCCCTCTTCTCCTTCCAACTTTCTTTCCCCACCTTCTTCTTCTCTTCTCTACTTCCCCTCCATCTGGGGAATTTTGAGAGTCAGAGTCCACCTATCTTACAGGTGCTGAGGTTGAGAAATAATGAAGTCAGCTATAACCATGGCATTTACAAGTTGTTTATTTAATTTACAGTCAAGGCCAAAATAAAACATAGGTGCGGTATAAAATAATAAGGTGAAATGAATGAAGAATTCAAAGTTGGTGTCTTCAGCATGCTTCAGATTTGGTATTTTATGCTGGCCTGCAGCCGAGTGGAACCTGGAATACATCTTAGAAAAGGAGATTTGGACATTAGTCAAGTTCTTTGGCCAAGGACTATCCGAACATCCCCAATGAATATCAAATCTTTCCAGAAAAGACTCAACCAGAGGTTCCAATTTGGAAGTGATTCAGAAGACATAAATACCGTCTCTGTAGCATCTCTTTGAAAGAATTCTTTATCTATATAACTACCACTTTTATCTGCTGGTTAACACGCCCTGTAAAATCCAAGCCACGAGTTGATTCCCTTGTTCCCATGTTGCGTTATCCGGTTTTTCACCAAAAGACACCGAGACACAACGTGATAATTGACTGCAGAAGGGAGTCATTCTGGCACCTCTTTCCATCGGGAGGGAGGGAAATGAGGAAATCGCCCCCATCTAGAGAAATAGTTGGATTTCTTTCTTTTTTTTCTTTAAAGTTGATTAAAAGCGGTGGGCAGGATCCATTGAAGGTCACTTCGTCAGGATCAAAGGAAGCTTTTAATTGTTTAATGAATATATTTCTCACGACATCGTTAATAGTTTTTTTTTCTCTCTCACAGCAGACCGATTGGAAATTACCCCGCTAAAAGAATTCATTGCTAGGACTCCACTCCATCCCCCCATTCTGTCTCTGTCTAGCTTCTTTTAATTTGTTGTTTTAACCTTCTGTCCTTGAGCGAAAGCCATGTAGCATCCTTTGTTAGCAGAAGACTAACAGAAGTTACATTCTGTATGGCAACTGTATTGCCACAGGCTTCATTTATTTTTTTTTCACACTGGTGTCTGCTGAGGTAAGGCATCTGTCCTGCAATGAGAAAGCAATGAACATAGCATAGAGATGACCTAATTATATTGCCGAAACTCTGATGATTAGTGTCTTAGCCCATGTTCATTTAACTAAACCTCTGTTTTTCCTGCTATATAGTCATCACACAAGAGAACTTCCGGTGAGTTGTAACCTTGACTCTGGGATTGAATTGAATTGACAGCCCTTGTTTAGAATAGAATTCTTTATTGGCCAAGTGTGATTGGATACAGAAGGAATTTGTCTTTGGTGCATATGCTCTCAGTGTACATAAAAAGTCAAGATACATTCATTAAGAATCATAAGGTACAACACTTAATGATAGTCGTAGGGTACAAATAAGAATAGAATAGAATAGAATAGAATAGAATAGAATAGAATAGAACAGAACAGAACAGAACAGAACAGAACAGAACAGAACAGAACAGAACAGAATAGAATAGAATAGAATAGAATAGAATTCTTTATTGGCCAAGTGTGATTGGACACAGAAGGAATACAGAAGGAATTTGTCTTTGGCGCGTATGCTCTCAGTGTACATAAAAAGTCAAGATACATTCATCAAGAATCATAAGGTACAACACTTAATGATAGTCATAGGGTACAAATAAGAATAGAATAGAATAAATAGAATAGAATAGAATAGAATTCTTTATTGGCCAAGTGTGATTGGACACAGAAGGAATTTGTCTTTGGTGCATATGCTCTCAGTGTACATAAAAAGTCAAGATACATTCATCAAGAATCATAACGTACAACACTTAATGATAGTCATAGGGTACAAATAAGAATAGAATAGAATAGAATAGAATAGAATAGAATAGAATAGAATAGAATAGAATAGAATAGAATAGAATAGAATTCTTTATTGGCCAAGTGTGATTGGACACAGAAGGAATTTATCTTTGGCGCATATGCTCTCAGTGTACATAAAAAGTCAAGATACATTCATCAAGAATCATAAGGTACAACACAATGATAGTCATAGGGTACAAATAGGAATAGAATAGAATAGAATAGAATAGAATAGAATAGAATAGAATAGAATAGAATAGAATAGAATTCTTTATCGGCCAAGTTGATTGGACACAAAAGGAATTTGTCTTTGGTGCATATGCTCTCAGTGTACATAAAAAGTCAAGATACATTTGTCAGGAATCATAAGATACAACACAATGATAGTCATAGGGTACAAATAGGAATAGAAATAGAATAGAATAGAATAGAATAGAATAGAATAGAATAGAATAGAATAGAACAGAACAGAACAGAACAGAACAGAACAGAACAGAATAGAATAGAATAGAATAGAATTCTTTATTGGCCAAGTGTGATTGGACACAGAAGGAATTTGTCTTTGGCGCGTATGCTCTCAGTGTACATAAAAAGTCAAGATACATTCATCAAGAATCATAAGGTACAACACTTAATGATAGTCATAGGGTACAAATAAGAATAGAATAGAATAAATAGAATAGAATAGAATAGAATTCTTTATTGGCCAAGTGTGATTGGACACAGAAGGAATTTGTCTTTGGTGCATATGCTCTCAGTGTACATAAAAAGTCAAGATACATTCATCAAGAATCATAAGGTACAACACTTAATGATAGTCATAGGGTACAAATAAGAATAGAATAGAATAGAATAGAATAGAATAGAATAGAATAGAATAGAATAGAATAGAATAGAATAGAATAGAATAGAATTCTTTATTGGCCAAGTGTGATTGGACACAGAAGGAATTTATCTTTGGCGCATATGCTCTCAGTGTACATAAAAAGTCAAGATACATTCATCAAGAATCATAAGGTACAACACAATGATAGTCATAGGGTACAAATAGGAATAGAATAGAGAATAGAATAGAATAGAATAGAATAGAATAGAATAGAATAGAATAGAATTCTTTATCGGCCAAGTTGATTGGACACAAAAGGAATTTGTCTTTGGTGCATATGCTCTCAGTGTACATAAAAAGTCAAGATACATTTGTCAGGAATCATAAGATACAACACAATGATAGTCATAGGGTACAAATAGGAATAGAATAGAAATAGAATAGAATAGAATAGAATAGAATAGAATAGAATAGAATAGAATAGAATAGAATAGAATAGAATTCTTTATTGGCCAAGTGTGATTGGACACAGAAGGAATTTGTCTTTGGCGCATATGCTCTCAGTGTACATAAAAAGTCAAGATACATTCATCAAGAATCATAAGGTACAACACTTAATGATAGTCATAGGGTACAAATAAGAATAGAATAGAATAGAATAGAATAGAATAGAATAGAATAGAATAGAATAGAATAGAATAGAATTCTTTATCGGCCAAGTGTGATTGGACACAGAAGGAATTTGTCTTTGGTGTATATGCTCTCAGTGTACATAAAAAGATACATTTGTCAGGAATCATAAGATACAACACAATGATAGTCATAGGGTACAAATAGGAATAGAATAGAAATAGAATAGAATAGAATAGAATAGAATAGAATAGAATAGAATAGAATAGAATAGAATAGAATAGAATATCGTGTTTCCCCAAAAATAAGACCCTGTCTTATATTTTTTTGAACCCTGAAATAAGCGCTTGGCCTTATTGGCATGTGCTCAAAAGCCCAATTGGGTTTATTGTCAGGGGATGTCTTATTTTGGGGAAAACAGAATGGAATGGAATGGAATAGAATAGAATAGAATAGAATAGAATAGAATAGAATAGAATAGAATAGAATAGAATAGAATAGAATAGAATAGAATAGAATAGAATAGAATAGAATTCTTTATTGGCCAAGTGTGATTGGACACACAAGGAATTTGTCTTCGGTGCATAAGCTCCCAGTGTACATAAAAGATGCAAGTGATAAACCATGATCATAAAGATGTCCACCCAAGCCAGAAAGACAGGAAAAAAGGAGCAAAGTTGGTAAAGCAGCCCAAGAAGATACAAGGGACGACAGACAGTAACTTCATCAGTTTAACTTGGTGTGCATGAGTATTTTCTGATTGGCCACCCCCATTGTGGCTGCTCTTTTATGCTCTTCCTGGTGGCTTAAAATTCCAGATATGCCCATCAAGCAAAAACCCTGAGCTTGCAGGATATAACTTAGCATTATTATAACAGCACAAACGCTTCGAAACTGCATGCTTGTTCTAGGCAGATGTTGTGTCTTGTGTGTGTGTTTAATTCAAAAAACCTGGGTAGGGTCCCAGAATAAGTTTGCTGCCTTGAGTAGTTTTAACTACAGAGAAATCTTGGCATCAAAATAAGGACAGAATGACAGTGGAACGAAGGCAACTACAGGCAGAGCTAGTAAATCTTACCTTTTTTTTTGACAACACTCTGTAGTATAAAACCAGTGATCCAGAAATTCCTATTTCTTGGATGTATGTTCAAATAGTATCTAATATATTCCAGGGAAACTTTAATCTGGATTAAAGGAGATGGGATCTATGGCTTCAATGTCCCTCTTCCTACTTAAGGGTTGTTAGAAATTGAGAGATGGAGCAAAAACTTACGCTACCCCCTAGTTTAGTGGTGGGATTCAAAAAATTTTACTACCGGTTCTGCTGTTTTCAGGCCATTTTCAGGCTGTTTTTTGGTGGTTTTCAGGGCCATTTTTCAGCCCCAAAAATGGCCTGAAAACAGCCCAAAAATGGTGTGAAACAGCCCAAAAACCGGCCTGGAAAAGGCCTGGAAAATGGCCAAAAAACAGGCCATTTTCAGGCTGTTTTTTGAGCCGTTTTCAGGCCGTTTTTTGAGCCATTTTCAAGCCATTTTTCAGGCTGTTTTTAGGGAACGTTGGAAACCAGAAGAGGAGCTGGCAATGGTGCGCATGCCCACAGAGAAGGCTCTGTGTCTGTGTGCCACGCTGGTACGCGTGCCATCTCTGTGGGGGCACCTACTATCTGGAACGAGCTCCCCCCGGAGATACGGAGGATCCCGGATCTATGCACCTTTCACCGCGCTCTTAAAACCTTTTTATTTCACCAGGCTGGTCTGGCCTAACCTTTCCCATTCTTTTTTAATGTAAATTATAATGTAAATTTTAATTTGTTCTTAACCAGGGGTTTTAAATTTGTCTTGGGCTAAATTGATTTAATTCGATTTTACTTCTGTTCTTAATTTTTGCATTTTATGTGTTTTATTCTGTGCCTGTTCACCGCCCTGAGTCCTTCGGGAGTAGGGCGGTATACAAATTAAATAAAATGAAAAAATGAAAATGAAAATAGGTTCGCCATCACAGTTCTAGAGCTTTCCAGCCCAACAATTCATGGAATGTTGGACAAGGGAAATGATATGAAGATTCCCTGTGTGCGACCCCACAATTTCCACCTCCAAGTGATCTTGGATCTTGGAGTCCTAGTGGACGACGATCACTTAAACACGAGCCAGCGGTGTGTAGTAGCTGCTAATACAATCCTGGGTTGTATAAACAGAGGCATAGAATCAAAATCACGTGAAGCCTTAGTACGGCTTTATAAAGCCTTAGTAAGACCACACCTGGAATACTGCGTCCAGTTTTGGTCATCACGTCATAAAAAAGATGTTGAGATCAGTGGTGGGTTCCTTCCGGTTCGGCCGAACCGGTAGCGGTGACCATATGACGTCACCGAACTGGTTCTCTTTGTTCGGGAGCTGGGCCCTCCCACCCCACCCCACCACACCCCACCCCACCCCCCATTATTCTTACCTTTTATTTGGCCCTGCCTCCAATTTTTCACTGCCTCCCGAGTCCCAGCTGATTGGCTGGAAGGAAAAAACCTGTTTAAACTCTTGCCGCGGGGCTTCAAAGGGCCGCCCTACAGCTGATCAGTGTTAAAAGGCAGTGTGGTGGTAGACCAGGACGTTCGAAAAAGAAATGGGAAGACCAGGACGCTCCAAGAACAAATGGGTAGACCGGTACAGCTCTACAAGCAGTTAAAAGCCTGGTAAACCAGTACCTCTGATAAATCCTAAAGAATTGTCACATGACCATCAAACCACGCCTATAAAATAAGCCACGCCCACAGAACCGGTAGTAAAAAAATTTAGAACCCACCCCTGGTTGAGACGTTGGAAAAAGTGCAAAGAAGAGCAACTAAGATGCCTTCCGTCGTTCCCTGAAAACCTATTTTTTTCAGCAAGCCGGGTTGGCTTAGAAGAAATTTTTAAATTCTTTTAATTAGTTTGTGATTCTTAACTTTCGGGCCAAAATTTATATATATTTTTAAATGTTTTAATATTTGTATTCTATGTTTTTTATCTTGGCTGTACACCGCCCTGAGTCCTCAGGGAGAAGGGCGGTATATAAATTGGAAATTAAATTAAATTTAAATTAAATTAAAGGCCTGGAGGCTAAAACAAAACGATTGCAGGATTTTGGTTTCGCTAGTCTAGAGAAAAGAAGGACTAGTAGGGGACATGATAGCAGTAGTCCAGTATTTAGGGGGGCTGCTACAAAGAGGAGGGGGGGTCAACTTATTTTTCAAAGCACCAGAAGGCAGGACAAGAAACAATGGATGGAAACTAATCAAGGAGGGAAGCAACCTAAAACTGAGGAGAAACTCCCTAACAGTGAAGACAATTAACCATTGGAACAGCTTCCTTCCAGAAGTTGTGGGTCCGTCATCACTGGACGTTTTGAAGAAGAGACTGTCACTTGTCTGAAATGGTATAGGGTCTCCTACTTGAGCAGAGGGCTGGACTAGAAGGCCTCCAAGATCCCTTCCAGCTCTATTCTGATTCTGAAAGTCATACATTCTGTTGTAATAAGGGAAGAATCCATCCAATTATTAGAGTATCAGATTTAATTCTGTGCCCAAAGATCAGGCAAGCAAATTCTACTCTTGCTAGTAAGGATCATGGAACAGCTCAGGAAGACTGCCTGAGAAGTTACTAACGCTGTATGAACAGAAAGACAACAATATTTGCCAGACATTAATCTGACTGAACAGTCAATTACATGTTCTATGCTGTTTGTTTAAACACTTCACATCTACAAGAATAACTCTCCGAGGTTGATAGCAACTTCATCAAAGATACTCTGTTTAAACTCTTTCTTCCACTTTTTAGGGAAATCACAATACTGCTGCGTGGGGTTGGTTAACAGTTATTTAGTTTGTGATTTCACACAGTTAGTGTAGCCTTTTTTTTTTTCCTTTGCAGAGTTCAGACTTTCCCATGGGAATGTTACATCAGCTCTTTCAAAGTTTTATGTGTTTATCCTGGGTGGGAGAAATATTGCAAAACACTGACTTGAGAAATATGCGGGATGCGATTATAGATGTTGTTTTCAAATAATAATGATCATTTGACACCAGGCAAAAACATAGTGAGAAATTTGTTTTAGCGTTCAGCTTTCTGTGCTTTTTTCCCCCCAAGTTTTATTTCTTCTCTCTCTCTTTTTAAAGAAACAATAAAGTAGTAAGTAAAGTAGTATTTAGAGCCAGTTTAGCCTAGTGGTTAAAGCACCAGTCTAGAAAACAGATTGTGAGTTCAGGTCCCACTTCAGTCATGAAAACCAGCTGGGTGACTTTGGGCCAGTCTCTCTCAGCCTAATTCACCTCACAGAGTTGTTGTTGTGAGGAAAATAAGAGGAGGAAGGATATTAGTTGTGTTCTCTGCCTTGAGATGTTTATAAAAATAATAAAGGTTCTATAATAATATAGAACCGGTAGTAAAACCGGAAGGAGGCTCCGCCCACCAACCCTGACTTCATCAAAACGCTTCTGTGCATGCGCAGAAGAGCACTCGCACGCGTGCGGCCCCGTTGCAAACCGGTAGTAAAAGTAAGTAGAACCCACCCCTGTTCCAGATCTTCCTGTCCTTTATCATCCTCTGGAGTCCATTTAATCTCACGCCTACTGCTTCAGTGACTCCATCCAGGCACCTCATTCTCTGTCGTCCCCTTCTTCTTTTGCCCTCAATCGTTCCCAGCATTAGGCTCTTCTCCAGTGAGTCCTTCCTTCTCATTAGGCGGCCAAAGTATTTGAGTTTCATCTTCAGGATCTGGCCTTCTAAAGAGCAGTCAGGGTTGATCTCCTATGGTACAACTATTAACAACTATGGTAACTTTATTAAAAAGCTCATGAAAGTCTATGCCTTTTTAAAATAGGAGCCTGGATAGCTCTGCGGAGAAGGCACTGTAATTTAACACCAGCTGTCTACAATTAAAGTAAGTTCGAATCTTGCCAGGCTCAAGATTGACTCAGCCTTCCATCCTTTCTAAGTGTTGTGGCCCCGCCCTCTGAGTCTGTCCCATCGGAGGAAGAAAGCTCCGAGCATGAGGAAGAGGAGTCAGCCAGGCCTCCCTCTCCAGGCCCCTCCCCTCTGGCACTGTCTCAGGTGCCGGCCGAGGGAGAGGAGATTAGCAGGGAGACAGGTGGCTTGGATGAGAGCGAGGGAGAGACATCATTCCTGGACGCACGCCTCCGAAGGCGTGATAAACGTTTGCAGCAGCTCAGGAGGCGTGCTAGGGATTAGAACTGAGTCACTGGACCACACCCCAGAGACTATATAATAGAGGGTGGTGGCCAGTGATCCTTGTGACAAACAAAACTAACCTTGGATAGTCACTAAAGCCTCGTTTGGAACTGCTGGGAGGAATATTTATTGTTGTTGGACGTTTGGAAGCTGAGTATTTATCTTTCTGTTTTTCTGTGGAAATAAAAGCACTTGGCAGACGGTGTGTATATCGCTGCCAAGTTGGAGATAAAGAGCTGGGTGTGTTCCAAGTGTTTCCTTAACCCTCGGCTGGCTGTGTTTGTGTGTGTGTGTGGACGGGGACAGATCACTAAGGTAGATAAATTGAGGACCCAGTTTGTGGGGGCAATAAGCTGACTTTGTATAAAATATACAAAAGTATGAAGGCTATTGCTTAACGCACTGTAAGCTGCCCTGAGTCTCCAGAGAAAGGCGGCATATAAATCAAATTAAAAAAAAAATTGTTAGCCAGCCAGATGCTATTATAGCCCGCCTGATCTTTTTTGCACAACATTTCTCAACTTTTTCTAGAGGAAAACCTAACTGCGACTAGCCTGAGCACGGCTGAGAGAGTACAAGAATATCCTCACAAGGTGAAATGATGTTTTAGTTCCATCATTTTGTAAAACTGTCTGAAGACCTTCTGCTAAATCTCAGCGGTGGGTTTTTCGAAACTTGGTGTGTGATGAAGAATCCTGTGGGTTGAAAATTTTGCTGTGAAGCAAATCGGAAGTTAGTTATTTCTTCGAGAGTAGGATAAGTTATCAATCAGGGTGTGCCCAATGCTGATTTCTTCAGTATTTTGACCAATAGAGTCTCGTTTGATCCTCACGGATCTGAAAAATTTAAACTAAATTAATTTTAATGTGGATATTGCCTTATACCGTATTTTTCGGAGTATAAGATGCACCTTAATTTTTGGGGAGGAAAATAAGAAAAAAGTTGATTGGCAGGTGGATCTGCCTCCTGGAATACCCCCAATCAGCTGTTCCCAGAAGGTGAATTTTAGCAACAGGTTCTTTGGCTGTGAGCTCTGTGCCTTGCTTTTTTTTTTTTTTTTTTGCTTTTTTTTTCAGCCTCTGAAACTTCTGAAACTCTGTTTCAGAAAAAACTTTTTTTCCTGCCTCTGAAAGCCTCCGAAATAGAGCTTCAGAAAAAAAGCCTCTGAAGCTCTGTTTGGGGGCTTCTTTTCTGAAGCTTCGTTTCTGATGCTTTTTTCAGCCTCTGAATCCTCCGTTTGAGAAGTTGGGTGGGGCTACATTCAGAGTATAAGACGCACCCAGATTTTCACCCTCTTTTTTGGTGGGGGGGGGGAAGGTGGGTCTTATACGCCGAAAAATACGGTAGTAATGTTTCTCAGCCTGGCTAGCTTTAAGATGGGTGGACTTCAACTCTCAGAATTGTGGAAGTTGAAATCTACCCATCTTAAAGCAGCTGAGAAACCTTTGGCCTTACTGTCGAATTTTATGAGTTCTGCTCATATTGAGAGCTAACTATGATTTCATTGCAACTTTTTTAAAATTCTATTTTTTCTTTTTAGGTTTAGCTATTTTATTTTTTTGAAAACATCCTCCAGGGCTAAACTCAAGATTGACCTAAAGACTAATCTCTTCAGCCCTTCAGTCTTTGCCTATTCGGATTTGCTTATTTAATATGCTTTATTAAATGGCATATGCTTTATTTAATAATAATGTTTCATTTCAGTCTTAATCTGTTGGCAGCAGCTGCCTTTTGATCTGCTTATATAGCTTTGCAAAAACTTACTGCTTATTCAGTGAAGAATACAGTTATTTCCCTGTGCTGCTCTTTTAGCCACACACAAAAAACCCACAAATAAATATCCTTTAAAAATCCCATGGAATAAGCCAAGACAACACATTCCAACTTGCGATAATTATTTCTTACTAAGAGCTTATTCAGTGTTAAACCCAATTAAGTCTTAGCTAAAAAAGAACATTGTAGATGTCTAAAAAGTTAACCATTAGAGCCAAATACATCACAATTTTCAGCATCAGTTTTACAATTGATCGCTTATGGATAGCAAGCAGGTCAATGGAAGATATGATTGGACTGATATGGGTAGTCCTTGATTTATGACCACAACTGAGCTCAGAATGTATGTTGCTAAGCGAGACCTTTGTTAAGTGCGTTTTGCCGCATTTTACATCTTTTCTGGCCATGTTTGTTAAGTGAATCTCTGCCGTTGTTCAATTAGTAACACGGCTGTTAAGTAAATCTTAACTTTGCTTGTCAGGGGGTCGCAAAAGATGATCACATGACCTCAGGACAATGCAACTGTCGTAAGTA